TACGGTGGTGCGCTTTCAGTTAGAACTCCATTCCCAAGGAAACTGCTGCTTGAAACCATCAAACTCGGGTCGCTTAGCAGGGAATTGAATCCGGGACCTCCTGATTATAGATCCAGCGCTGCGACCGCTATACCAAAGAGAGGTCGACATTGAAAGAGACATGGGGAAAAGAGAAGCAAATTTCTTGACCCAAAGCCTTACTTTGAAGAAAGTATCCAATATAGGGCCATCAATTTTTTCGGATGGTTCAATGTTTGAAAAAGAGAGAAAAAAGAAAAAAAAACCTTAACACTTTGAATGAAAGATATCGACAATGGTAGCCAACAAATCACATAACTCAGTTTGCGACGTTGCAGACTTCCTGTAATGCTTTATTTTTTAAACGGAAAACTACTGAATGGCAATTCTTTAAAACTGCCGTGATTTTTCTTCTCTGTGCGAAGAAAAATCTAGATAAACTTGAAGGAAGAATGTCAATTTGTTCTCCTTCAGGAAAATAACATGGAGGCGAAGATTTTCAGACACCGCAAATTAGATATGTGATTACGGACTTACGCTGTCAATGTACTTCCTTTTCAGATAAATGTAATAAGACTAATCTATTCTAATGCCTTGCTTCTATTTTGACTGCATACTTAAAAGTCTTCAAGAATAGTTACTTACAGAGACAAAGTTGACTCGAGTCCACACCAAGTACGTTTACACACTTTTAGACTGGGATATAAGTAAGCCCTGTCACCTTGATTCTTCCATCTATTTTTCATGCAAAAGTGACATGAGACAACCTTCTATCACAGTCTAAAAGTGCGTAAACTTATTTGACGCCCACTTTACAGGCATTTAAATAAATAAAATGCAGGTCTTGGCAGGAGCGATGTACATTTTCAGAGCTTCGTTCAGCATGCAAAGGATAGCCAACAATATCAAGATGGCTGCAGGATTGAATGCCGAAATTTTGCCACAGTACATCAACAGAATTGCGTTCTGGTTCTGTGACTTACGATATTTATTTAATAAGGATTTGTTGAAAAATCAGGCAGAATGATGCTCCGAAATCACACTGCTGGCATTAGTAAATTTAATTACAAAATTGCATTGATGCTGACGTTGACACAGTAAAATGTTGAGTTATGTTAATTCAAAATAATGAATCAACATTAACTCACAACAAGAATTTAGTTCTATCCGTCGCCTCCCAAGACTGTTTACATGGTATACTCAGCATACCGGCTTTCACGTTTATTGAAATTGCTCTACACGCTACAATATGATGGTACACTGCAAGATGGATACACTTCTGGTGGGTACATCTCATACCATCTTTACATCACATCGAATCGGGTACGTGAATCACAAGGCAAAATTTGTACCCTCTGCAAGATACAAGTCCCTGAAGCGTCAGTGTAAATCGAAATGCGACCACCATAGTGTATCCACCTTGTCAATTCATAAACGGTTGCCTTGAGGGAAAATATGTTCTCGAAACGAATGAAAATCTCACCTGAAAATTTTATTGTGTCGCTCTGCTGCTCCCAAGGACCTTCGAACAGTTGATTTCTTGTGAGCGGAATGCCACTGATTTTGACCTCGGAGAGCTTCCATTCAAAAAATATTTCTTCTAAGCGAGCAATGAATATTTCCCATTCAGATGCAGTGGTAAAATCCTGGTGATAAAATTCACTGCTGGAGCTATCTTGAATCATGGTCACTGAAATGATTTGAACATCACACAAAGAGAATAAAACGATGCACTCAAATGAACACACACCAAAAAGCAGAAGAGTAAAGGAAGTTGTTTCTTTATTCAAATTTCTGTTGTCTTGTTATGCTAGTATTACAAATTAATTGACAGAAATTGAACTTTCACTATCACTGCACTCCACTGCATCCTTTGTTTACGTTATCAAACATAACCAAAGAAAACTATATTTACTTTTTGCAGGGAAGGACCCCCCTGCATGAGTCGCTCTCTGGCGGAGAAGTTGGGACCCTGCTCATTCGCTGCTTCTTTTTTGGCGCCAAATACAATTTGACGGACTTCGAACAAGGGAGCGGTTCATCTTTGCGGGCTAATCCCTTTTATCGAGGAATAATCCATGCAATGCGGACACATGATAAGTTCTTCGAATTAGGGATGGTCGAATATTTAGATATTCGAATCATCGGCACCGAGGTAATCGCATCACATTCGAATATTCGCTTCCGAAGTATTCGAAATCGCATATTCGAACAATCGCATTCAAAAGTGTCAAATGTGCCATTTTATCTCTCATGATTCATAAGAAATAAAAAATCGAAGCAATAAGCAAAAATATTCGAATATTCGCATCCGAACTATTCGTAATCGCAAGATTCGAATTCTCAAATATTCGCAATAATCGCATTCGAAAAGTTTCGAATATTCGAATATTCGCATTCGAATTCGATATTCGTCAATCCCTACTTCGGATCAATTCAATGCAAGACGGTGTATGGTTTACTCATTTATTCGAAACAAAAATATGCCCCTTTTTTGATACTTTAATTGGTACGCGTATATTTCTGCAAAAATACTAGTGGACTAAGAAGCTGTGTAAATGTGAAGTTTCCTTTTTGCAAAGAAGTTTCTGTAGAATCTCATATAAATGAAGGAAATCATGGATTAGTTGAACATGCTGTTCCAATTTTTCCTTAAACGTAAGATAGTAATAAAAAAGTAGGCGCCAATTGCTTCACATTATTTCAGTTTGTAAGAATAGAGTGTTCCCTCCGGTCGATTAAATTTAATAGATAAAATATTTGAGGGAACATTGAATCGCTTCCTTATCCGGCACCCGAGTGCCGAAGGTGTCAGCTTGTTTCAGTTGGCAAAACTCCTCACCTTCTAAGCACAGGCATTTTTACCATTTTTTGTAGCATCTACGTAATACCTCTTTAAAGCTTGATGGGTCAGTTTTTAAGACTTTGCTCCTATTTTGTGTTCCCACCTCATATTATTTTAGTTTAATAAAATGTCATACCTCTTTTCTTTTAAACGATTTTTTATTTTAAAATATGATTGTACTGTGATTAATTAAGAGTCTAATTTCATTAATTGACTGGTCAGTACATACCTACCGAAGATGAAACTACGGAGAGGTCTTTCTCGGTTTGCAGTCTTGCAAACTTCTTGTTATACTTTATTTTCTAAAGAGAAAACTACTCGACGCCATTTCTTGAAAATGTGATGGTTTTTATTCCCGTTGTGAAGAATATTCTGCGAAAATTTCAAGTCATGACTTAGGTTTGGCCTCGTTTCAAAAGATCAAATGGGAGCAGAGATTGTGAAACACTAATCGACTGCTATGGGAACTCAGTAACTCTTCAATATTCAATTTTTGTCGGATTCGGATCCTCCATGACACAAAATACTCAGAAATGTGTAAATTTTCCAAAGAAATGCGTCTTTCGAGTTCTTGCAGTTTCACCATCGATGTATACTTTTTTTTTATGTATGTGCGTATATTCACTTTTCATCTGTACGCTACCTCTTCACACCAGGGTGTCAATAGTTCTGTAAAACTGGGAATTGTTAGGGAATTGTATCAGGTCAGGGAAAAGTCAGAAAATTCTATGAAAAAGACAAGACCTTAAAAAAATATTGAAAACTGAGGAACATCGCCTTAGTAGCCAAAATATGATTTATAATAACTATCAAGATATCTAAAAAATACCTTTCCCACTTTAACACACGTATATCTTCCTAAATTAGGTATTTCGGTCATATCTCTTCCAAGTAACCCGATTTGCTGAGGTATAAGTTTTTAAATGGGAAATTTTACCTGCTGACGCCACCAGGCAGCACATTTTTTTCATTTTTAAATCTTTTTCTTTACAGTTTCCAATAATTTCAGATTTTTTTTTTGTTTTTGTTTTTTTTAAAAAAATAAAAAATACCGCAAACTCAGCTGATTAAGTACTCTCATATGAAGCAATACACATTTTTAGGGCAAATTCTCAATTTTCTGAAACCACTCCTGATTTTTCTGGAAGTAGCTGAGAAAAAGGAAACTAAATATCGCACGTCGTTCTGACACAAAAAAATGGCGTCCATCGAATCACCTTAAGCAGAATTGGTCTATTGTAAACAAGAGCTACAGCCGACTGAATATATTTTTATGGGAAAATTCGCTCGAAAATCACGCTGGGCACATCAAAAAAGCCTGCAATCAACTCCTTAGCGCGCAATTTGCTTCGTTTGTAACACGTTTTTTCAAATTTATCGCATACGCGGGCAGTTTTCAGCGGGCAGTATAACACACTGTACCCTCCGGCCAGTGCAGAGTAGGCAATTTGCACATCAGTTAGCATGTGTAAAACGGTGTAACGTTGGAAGTTTTCTCCGGTGTCGAAGGCGCTACTTGGAGAACGCGCGGGCGCGCTCCACAAGTAGACTAGGTACGAATAATTAAGCAATATGATACATGTTTCCGACTCAAAATTTCATGGAGAACATGATTCGCGCGACAAAAGGTACCGAAATCAACCTCTAACTAAGATATAAGCGTTTTAATTGTAAATTGGTTACGGGAAATAATTGCTCGGTCAAAAGAAACGCAATACTCTACGTGGGTCAAATCGCGCACTACAACGGTTTTGGCAGGCTTCTCTATCAAACATTGTTGTCCCACCCTTTCTTGTTCAAAGTGTAAACAATTTTCTATAGCTGAGCCAAAGTTTCACGATTGAGATTGCCATATTTTCGTATCCCAGAGAGCGCCACGGTATAACGTTCAGTTTGCGATCTGACGTACGTGGACCATTGTGTTTTCACGAGCGGAAGGTTTGAATTTACGCGTCAAGAAACATTAAACATTTTGGTTAGGAGTCAATTTGGTAATTTTCGTTGCACGAATCGTGTTCTAAATTAAATTTTGGTTAAGAAACATGAATCAGAATACTCAACTTCGCACCGTGTCTAGCGGTCCATTCGGTCTATTTCAAGAGGTGAAGAACTTTGTGGGTATGAATCAGCCAGCTCCATCCAAACATCTTTCTCTGCGTCATATCGTGTCAGTTCTTGGCGGAAGTACAAACAAATTTAAATTTAAGTCATTGATACCAGTAGGCTGCTTACTGAAATTTATAGACAAAGCTATGGACAAAGATGGCGACGGGAAAACGGAGCGATCCTATAGTTGGAAGTGGGTAGTTGCTATGGACTAGGCAGGTAAGTAATATACAAGTAATGGCATCCGATGAGAGAACCTTTATTTAGTCCATCATTTTCACCTTTAGTTTATAATGACCACTCATTTCAATCACTTGGATCACTCCATTTTCCATTTGTCTTTTTTCTCTATAGATTTGTCTATCAATTCTAATAATCAGCCTTCTGAGGTTTCATGGATAAGGGCAACATGTGCCAAAACTACTAATATATTGTGTGTACAAAATTATTTCCCTTTAAAATGAACAATATTTTGGTGGGAGGAAAAATCTATTTACTATTTTCAGACATTTTTTGGAAAATTATGAAGAAACGAGATCTTCGCTGGTTCCTTTTTGCTAAATGCGATCCAAATACAAATACGCTGAGATGCCGTCTTTGCCTCTCGCAACGCCACCGAGGCAACATCATTTGGCATCGCAACTCAAATCCTGTTCATACCGGTCTATTGTGCATATCCACGCCAAAGTGCCGATACTGGGTCTTTCATTGGGCGATTGTAATCCTCCCCCTCCCCCTCATCCACTACCCGCGTCCTTTGCAGTTAATTATGTTTTAACTGTTCCCTGGCGACCGTAAAGCTCCTGTTGGCCGAGGCGACATCTCCATTCCGGATTGTGCCGGAATATCGACGCACGTCACGTGGTAAACAATCCTCAAGATGCAAACACCTCCTTTTTTCTCCTCAATGCCTATAGATTCGTGGATATTTGGACCGCGTTAAACAGAAAGGAACCAAGCCACATCAGCTATTGCCAAATTTAATTGTCTAATTTAATTTTTCACATGAAAACGGTTGCGCAGATTTTCATGCAAATTTCAGGGATTTTGCTCCCTAGTGCGAAGCAAATTCCTTAAAATTTTCAAAAGAATCCGCACCAACGTTTCCTTGTAAAAAATTAAATTGCTCAGTTAAATTTGGCGATAGCTGATGTGGCTTAGTTCCTTTCTGTTAAACGCGGTCCATTTGCACAATATTTAGGAATTTCCCTGGTAAATATGGCAAGGCGGTGGAGATTCTAAGTGGCGCTGGGGCGGGCGAAGAGTGGCTGCTAATCGGAGCGCCACGCCGCCGTCGCTCCCGGCCGCAGTATTTGGGACGACCACGACAGCCAACGACTCTCAACACACACCGAGTGCATCCTCGACCATTACCACCCCCGAACCGGAAACCGCGCAACTCCTCCGAACATTGCACTGTACATGCGTGGTTTTCCATCGGCGCGGATACGGATGGATTCCACCGACAACGCCGAGTTCAGTATATCAGCACGCTTTGCATAGGGACTCCGCGGAGACAGTGGCGAAACGTGAATCATCGACTGTACACAGGGTCCTCAAAAAGTCCGGCTCCCCTCTGCTAACTTTTCACTGGAAAAAAAAACACATTGGATCTAGAGTCCAGACTCTTGAAAACATTGGCAAGAAAAAATACTCCTGATTCAATCGGATTTTTGCTTGAATCAAAACGAAATTCGCTTAAATTAAGAGGCTTGGTTCTTGATTTAAGCTAGATTCTGATTGAATCAAGAGTACTTTTTCTTGTCGATGTTTTTAAGAGTCTGGACTCTAGATCCAATGTGTTTTTTCCAGTGTTGAACGGCCGCGACGGCCCAGAAATAGGAACTTCATGAACATTCCTATGTCGATGGGAACTAATTTTTGGCATATCGAAAATTTATCGTTCTCCCCACGAAAGAACGTAA